GAGACCTCTGGGGACACCTGGGACACCTCTGGGGACACCTGGAACACCCGAGGGACCCACAATTCCTGCTGGGACGTCCCTCTGGACCAACGGGACAACTGGGACACCCGATGGGTGGGGACACCTGTGGGGACACCTGTGGTGACACCTCTGGGGACACCTGTGGGGACACCTGGAACACCTCTGGGGACACCTGAGACACCTCTGGGGACACCTGGAACACCTGTGGGGACACCCAGGACACCTCTGGGGACACCTGAGACACCCCTGGGGACACTCGAGGGACCCACAGCCCCTGCCGGGACGTCCCTGTGGACCGACGGGAATTAACAGGGTCGTTAATTAGCCCGGGGAGGTCGAAGGGCTCCGTTTTGGGAGACGCCCCAACGACGAGCCAGCGAGACCCAGGGACGGGTTTTGGGGTCGGCCCCGCCCCAGTCGGGCACTGGGAGCACTGGGAGCACTGGGGAGGTGGGCGGGGCCACGGGGTGAGGGGGCGTTCCCCATCCCCTAATTAACGAGGCCGTTAATTAGCCGTTAAGGTCGGGAGACGCCCCAACGACGGGTCTTTGGTGCCGCCCCGGGTCGACCAGTCGGTCCCAGTCGGGCACTGGGAGCACTGGGCAGGGCGGGAACTGGGCGGAGCCGCCTCATCTGCCTAATTAAGGAGGTCGCCTCTACCTCATTTGCATAATTAACGAGCCCATCGTGGCCTCGGGGAGGGGGGAGGGGCTGATTTTGGCGCCCAATGGGTGCCCCTACCTCGGCTTAAGCCCCGCCCCCTCTGGGATTTATTTATTAATTATTTATTAATTATTTATTAATTAATTATTATTTATTTATTCTATTTAATTGTGTATCGGGTTCGGGGTTATTTATTGCGGATTTGGGGGGGTATTTATATTAATTTGATAATTTAATAATAATTTAATAATTATTTCACGTGTCGCATCTTTATTGAATTCCCACCCCCCCTGCCCCCCAAAAAATATCAAAATGACCCTTTTTTACCCCAATTTTCAGGTTGGGGGAAAAGGGAGGGAATTTTTTGGCCGTTAATTTTTGGGGAGAAATTATAAAGAAATCCCATTTTTGGTGTGGTGTTTTTTTTTTTTAAATCCCTTAATTATTGGGGGAAAATTATAAATAAACCCAATTTTGGCCTTTTTAATCCCTTAATTTTTTTGGGGTGTTTTTTTTTTAATGGGGGATAAACGACAAACAAACCCATTTTTGGCCATTTTTTCATCCCGAGTCGGATTTTTATTGGCCCGACGTGGAAAATACAAAGTCACAAAAGTAAAAAAAAAAAACCCAAAAAATTCAATATTTTTCCTTAAAAAAAGGCTGAAAACGCTCGATTTTCCTCCCGGTTTTGGGACGAGGGTTTGGGAGAACCGGGAGAACCTCAAGGGTAAGGAAACCTTTCCTCCAAAACACACATTTGGTGGCACTAATGACCCAAATCTGGGGGGCTTTGCCCAAATTTGGACGGTTTTTTATTCTTTACTCAAATTTGGGGATTTTTTGGCCAAAAATTKGRRGGGGKTTTKRMCMAAWTYKGGGRWTTTTTTTTGCCCTGAATTTGTTTTTTTTCCCCCTCCAAAATTTCAGGTGTTTTTCCCAAATTTGGCAGGTCTTTGCCCAAATTGGGTCGTGCCAATTGTTTTGCCCCCTGGTTGTGCCAAAAACCACCAAGAAGACACAGACAGTAAAAAAAAAGGAAGAAAAAGGGAATTTTTGCTCCTCGTTCCCACCCACCCCCGAAACAATTTGCCCAAAAAAGCCCCAAAACCAAAAAAAACCCCATTTTTGCCTCAATTTTTACCTTTTTGGCCTCGTTTTTAACGCTCCACCTTCGGCTGAACTTGGGGAATTTTGGGTGGGGCTTTCAGACAGTGGGAGGGGCTTGGAAAGGCCGTTAAAAATCGTCTTTAATTAGCGGGGACTTAATTAAATTTGTCCCGAAATTTGAGGGGGGGGGAGGGGGAGGAGCCGCCAGCGATGGGTCGATCCCAGTTGGGCACTGGGAGCACTGGGGAGGTGGGCGGAGCCACGGAATGAGGGGCAGTTCCCC